CCCCCCCCCAAAAAAAAATCCCTGTAACATCAGGTTTCTATTGTATATCTTTTGTTTTAGGTCGTTGACACTTTCCTTGCCCACGGGATTTTTCAGTTCTACCCACTCCGAACGCTAAGCTAGCAGCTGCACAATTTCTTGGAAACGCAGCATTTCGGTATGTTTTTAAACAGAGGATTGTGAAGTCAATTTTTATGCTACTGGTATAAATTGAGTATCACTGGAAAGGGAATTGAATGGAAAATGTATATATGCAAATGCAGATTAGTTGAAAGAAAGACTGTTTAAGTACAGAGACAGGCTAAAGACTATCAGCAGACTGATATGTTTAGCGTCGGTGGTGCATTGAAATCACGATTAAATGATAGCGTTGTTTCTTGACGTTTCTTCCTGTATTGTCAAAGGTAGTTTACCAAATTACTCAGAAAAGACAAAACTTTATTATTGGGAGTAGCATCCGTTGGTGAACCTTCGTATTTTTCTTGACTTGAATCCGTTCGCAATTTTACTGAACACCATGTCGTCATTCCCCTGGTCAGAACACTTGCTCCAAAGCTAAACATTCTAAGGTTTAAATGTCGACAGAAACAACGTATAATATTACTGCACGTGCATCGAGATCTTACAAGAGAGTTCATAAGCAATGAAGTAGTGACAGAAACAACGTAGGCTATATTACTACCGTTGCATCGAGATCTAACAAGACAGTTTATAAATAAGCAATGAAGTAGTGACAGAGGCACAGAAGGGTTCTTGGTAATAATTTTATTAAGCAAAAGCACAGTGATATTCGAATACGTTCTCCTCATAAAAAAGGTACAGTATCACACATACAAACTTTACCAACTCTGCTAGAATTATTAGACCTACGTTCTCACCATAATTAATGACGATAACACAGCTGGGTATCGTAAAAAAATAAAACAACAACCAAACAAAACAAAACAAAACAGGCAACACAGTGATTGGAACAAAGGCTACATTATGCACAATATGATACATTTCCTTTCCATCCATTCATCCTCAGAGTCATAAATGATTGACTGTGTGACAAACAGAGACGTCTCTTTCTTCCCGCGACACCCAAAAGGGCATAGGCCGCGGGTAAAAGTAAACGTACAAGTAAGACAAACAGTTGGAATGAATACATCCATAGATTTTTATCCCACAAGTAAGGCATTACAATGAACATCAAGTATAAAGCAGTATCGTTGAGGTATCAAAACGTTGTTGAATTAATAAAAGATTTTCTGTGGACCAACTTGAGGTTTGTTCAAGTTTGTGA